TGTGTGTGTGTGTGTGTGTGTTGCATTCACCATTCACCCTGGAGCCAATGCCCTCCTCATTGAACCTGGGAGCATATTCCAAGGCTGATGAAGACAGAGATGAGAAGATTCTGGAGCCGCAGCTTCTTTCTGCCTGGGCATCCTCTCTCTCCTTATATTCTTCCTGTCCAGCTTTGCTGCAGCAGGACGATTCATCATTAATCCCTTTAAAACTGCTAAGATAAGCAGCAGAAGAGTTTAAAGGGAAGGTGGATTAGAGCTTTTTTTTTTTTTTTTCCCTAGACAAAGTATGAGTTATCACTTGCTCCCAGGCTGGCCTGCAGGAAATATTCACAGACAAACATCTGGAGCATCAGGGTAGGAAAAATCCCTGACATCTTAGACCCTAGGCCAGCTTCCTTCAAATGATGTCTCAGGCTACCAGAGTTCCAGTCCCAGATTGCTAGAGTGCTGCTGCCCAGGACGGTGTTCTGTGGCAAAATGCCCCCTTTGTGTACTTTAATAGGGGCTAGTGCAGCTCTGGATTCTCACAGCTCGTGCAGCGATAATATCCCGTTTTTTTATTGAGGCTTCTGTGCTGTGCTAAGTGCTTTATTCACAGACTATCTTGTTTCTTGTTTAATCTTCACTACAATCCCAGGAGACCGATATTGCTATCTGCAGTTTATAGATGTGGAATGTGAGGTTCAGAGAAGTTAAGTAATTTGCTCAAGGTTGCACAGGTAGTGAGCAGCAACCTGAAACTGGTATTCAGGTCTGTTAGATTTTTAAACTTAATGCTCTTAACGACTGTGTGATGTTTTCTCAATAAGCGCTTTATAAGTGTTTGCTGACAGTCGAAGCATTTACCCAACCAAATGAGGCTGTCTGATCCTGTATGTTCTGTTCTTCATGCTAGTGTCCTGAAAAGAGGCAAACGGGCCTCTACAGTGGGAAACTGGTAAAAGAAAAAAAAAAAAAGAAGAACAAATCCAAATTTCCAAGGTTTGGGGAATATGATGTTTGGTTCCAGGTGGTCTGGAATCCACAAAGAAATCCCCAGCTCCATCTTGGCACTTTCTGTCCTGTCTCTGTCTTTCTCTTTCTGACTTCATTCCTTGGACTTTGTGTCCGAGTCAGGGGTTGGTTCCTGGAGCAGGGGGAGAAGAGTCAGAGCTGGTTGAATGCCGCCCTGAGAATTTCCTGCATCTGCAGAATCAAGGACGCCAGTGGCTGGCGGGAGCTCTGTGGGTCAGGTTTCTGTGCCAGACAGTGTGCCAGGGAGTCTCAGCAGTGTCGGATGAGGCCCCAGACCCACAGCAAAACTGCTAGGACTCAGGGTGATTGACAGCAGCTGCTGGCAAGGGCTGCTGAGAGGGATGCTCCTTGCTTCCTGGCCTTGTCCCATGGAGAGCCCCTCTCTTTACCCCTAGGCCTCTGCCACTTGTGTTCTTGGCTGTTCTGGGAAACCTGGAATCTGATTCTTCCTGCCTGTCTGTCTCTTCTCTCTCTGAGAAATCGCCATCTCTGGAGGCGCAGCCCCTCTGCCATCTCCAAGCCACTGGAGATCTCTGTGGAGAAGTTCCTGTAAGGGAGGGTGGATAACTGGATTGTAAGCATTAATGCTCCCCCACCCCCCAGTGGACAAAGAGGACTTCCCAGAAGCCCTTGCTTCAGAGGCAGCCATTTTGTGGAGGTGTGATCCTTTCATAATTCTTTTTTTTTTCTTCTTTTCCTCCCATGAGCAACTTTTTAAAAATTAAAATGTTCATCTGTGGGTAAATCTAGCTACTTCAAAATATATAATTAGATATTCACTCTGTACAGAAAACTCATTTGTGAAATCATAAGCTCAGCCAGGCATGATGGCACATGCCTGTAATCCCAGCGACTCAGGAAGCTGAGGCAGGAGGATCGTGAGTTTAAGGCCAGCTTCAGCAATTTAGCAAGGCCCTAAGCAACTTAGCGAGACCCTGTCTCAAAATGGAAAATAAAGAGCTGGGAATGTGGCTCAGTAATTGAACCCCCACTGATTTAAAAAAAAAAAGAAACAACATAAACAAAGAAAACACACTTAGATGCAATGTGAATTATTGTACTAAATTATTCTCACGTTCAGAGCCAGGAATGTTTTGTTAGAAAATAATTCTGGATTAGGTGAGTCTTAGGTCACCAGAGTCCCCAACTAGTTTTTTGTCCTATGGCTTTTGTGGAGTGGAAGAAAGGCCCACCTTAGGGCCAGAGGAGCAAATGTTCATCTCTCAGGCCCTGGGGTTACCTCCTCATCTGTACTTGTCCCACAGAGCCACCATGCTGCCATCTAGAGCCCACCCAGCAGTTCATCTAAAGGTAATGAATCACCTCTTACTCTACTCCATCATTTCTCATTACTGATTTAATTAGAATTTCTCCTGGGTTCTGTGCACCATGAATTTACCACTTATTATTTTGTTTGCAAATAGAATTCATTGATCCACACTCCCAAAATCCTACCAGTTACATTTTCTCTTTATTTTTAAGACTCCTGAACCCTTATGGTTTTAAGGGTTTGAGCTATGCACAGAGCAGGAGCACTGTTTACCAAAGCTACCTTGTAAGAAGGATGTGAACATCACCTGGTGGGGTAGTTCCAGCAGGTGCCACCAGGTGAGTAT